TTGACAGTTATATAATTCTTGGTTCAAAATTTTTCTCTTTCAAGGTTTTATATATACTGTCCCATTTCCTTCTCGGTTGCATTGTTTCTGCTGAGAAATCAGAGCTTATTCTTATTGATTATCCTTTGTAAGTAACTTTTCATTTTTCCCATACTGCTTTCAGGATTTTTTTCTTGGTCTTTGGTTTTGATGAGTTTGATGATGGTATGTCTTGGTGATTTTCTTTTGGAGTCTAGCCTGTTTGGGGTTCATTGGACTTTCTGAATGGACATATTCTCATCTTTCATCATATCATGGAAGTTCCCTTCCAACAAATCTTGGACAATTTTCTCAGTGGTTTCATTTTTTTCTTCCTGTTCTGGTATTCCGATTACACATAGGTTATTCCTTTTGATGGTATCCCACATGAACCTTAGGCTTTCTACATTTTTTTTTTCTGATTGATCCCTTTCCAAAGAAGTATTCAGATATTTGTCTCATTATTTTGGTCTCCCATTGATTCATTTCTACTCCTTTGGCCTTTCAATGTTTATCAAAATTTAGTATTAATCTTCTGGATTTCTAGCTTTAGATTTTGTATCATCTCTAATTTTTCATTGATTTTTTCATTTTTATCTTGCATTTTCTTCCAAAATTGTTCTAGGTTTTTTTTTTTGTCTGTGTTTTCCTTAATTTTGTCAGTGTTTTACTTGATCTGTCTCTCAATCCTCTGAAGATACCAACTCATAGCATCCCCTCATTGGGTTTCTGAGGTGGTATCACTACAGATGTAGATTGCCCATCCCTCCTTCTGAGACCTTTGAAGATAACTAAATATAATTATTTTGAATTCCTTATTAGGGAATTCCATTGTTGCTTCTTCCTCAATGATGTGTTCTGGGTCTGTATCCTGCTCCCTTGGTTCTTCCATTTTATCTTGCCTCTTTTTATGGACTGTGATGGTGTGTTGTCTCTGAGGCACTGTGATGCTGTTGAATTTAGATCTGTTAACTGTTTGAAGAGCAGTTAAGGGTGAGTCGGGCTCTTCTTAGTGGTCATTTATTATTGGCCAGTTGGTTGAAAAGGAAATGGTCACTTTCACTCAGTAAATGAAGTTGCAGGAGGTGTGGGTGTAGTTGTGCCATCTGGGAATTGTTGCTGTCTCCCACACAGTTAGACAAAAACAACAGTCCAATAACCATCAAAAAAGTAAAAGCAAGTGGACAAAAAACACACTGTGTAAACACAAAGGAATAATAACAACCCCCCCCCCAAAAAAAAAAATCACTATCTGGGAAGAGGGAAATAAGAGAAAAATGGTAGAGTTAGGAAAATAATGAAGAAAAATATGTGAAAAATGGAAAAAGAAAAACAAGGAATGGGGTTAACCTCAAGAAAGAAAAAAATGGGAACCCAGAGCAGAGAAGAGAGAAAAAGCTGAAAACTAGATTTTAGGAAGGGAAGAATAAGGAATAATAATAAAAAGGACAGTAATAGTAATAATATTAAAACACAAAACAAACAACCTGAAAAAAAGAAAAAAAAAGTCTGGGCAGGGCACCCAGGCTCCATTTGAACACACAGACTGAGATGGAGTTTCTGCTGGCCCAGAAGGTGGGTGGGAGTGAGGGATGGCAGCACTTCGTTCACCAAGAGTGTATGGGTTATAAGAGTAACAAGGGAAATATCGCACCTTTCTGGTTGTTGGTGTCCAGAATGTCCTTGTGGTTCCTGGCAAGTGGAGCCTATTCTTAAGTCCCTGGAATCTGGGAGAACGCTGTCGCTTTAAGTATCCAAAATGGTCAAACCACTTGTAAACATTCAAAATGTCTATGCCCTCTGGACAGGCAAAAATCCACAGCTCAGCCCGACTTCCTTTTTGCTGCTTCCCCTTTTATTCACCAGCCACTAGGGCAGTTCTCAGTGCAGCCCCTGGCTTGCAGCACCGATTTTTAGGTTAATTCTTAGGTCCTAACATAGCTCTGCCATATCCAAGCTGTCTGTGCCGTCAGGATTGCTGCCAGACCGCAGCTCTGTATGTCTCCTTTTTTGGTATTTTCGTGCAAGTTCTTCTAGTTGTTGGAGTTTAGTCCACTTCTGTATCCTTCCCTTCAAAGTTCAGGGTGCCAAGATTATCTTCTGTATCTGTGTTGGTTGGTTCCCCTTTTCTTTGTTGAAGAGGGTCTGTGTAGTCTGTCTCCCTTTTCTGCCATCTGTCATCATGTGATTTCTTGACTGTTGTTTCCATGAGTCTTGATTGTGGATCCAAGTAAAATGAAATCCCTGACAATTTCAATTTCGCTTCATTTATTGTGATGTTGCTTACTGGTCTAGTTGTGATGATTTTTGTTATCTTTATGTTGAGTTGAAATCCATTCTGAAGGCTTTAGTCTTTGAGCTTCAATGCTTCAAGTCATCTTTACTTTCAAGTAACAAGATTGGATCATCTGCATATTGTGGGTGGTTAGTGAGCCTTCTTCCAGTCCTCATGCCAAATTCTTCTTATAGTCCATCAAAGTGTTTGTTGTTGTCATTGTTGTTATGTGACAATGAGTCAGTTTCAACTCATAGCAACAACAGAATTCATATGTACAACAAAATGAAACTCTGTCCAGTCCTGTGCCATTCTCACAGATGTTGCTATACATGAGTCCATTGCTACAGCCCCTGTGTTAGTACATTTTGTTAAAGGTCTTCCTTTTTTGGTGACCCTCTACTTTGCTAAGCATTTTCCCTTCTCCAGGGACTGGTCCTTCCTGACAACATGTCCAAGTGCGTAAGACGAAGCCTCACCATCCTCTTTTCTAAGGAGTATCCTGGCTGAGCTCTTTCAAGTCAGATTTGTTTGTTCTTCTGGCAGTCCATGGTATATTTAATATTCTTTGTCAAAACCATAGTTCAAAGCCTTCATTTCTTCTCTAGTCTTCTTATTCATTGTCTAGCCTTTGCATACATATGAGGTGATTGAAAATACCTTGGCTTGGGTTTGGCAGACCTTAATCTTCAGAGTGACATCTTTGCTGTATAACATTTTAGATCTTTTGCAGCAGATTTGCCCATTGCAATATATTGTTTGATTTCTTAACAGCTTTCTCCATGGGCTTTGATTATGGATCCAAGTAAAATGATATCAAAATGCTAAGGGAAATTAATTTTGAATTTTGAATTATTTAATTCATGAAATTAATATTCAGGAGTGAGAATGAAGTAAAAAATGTATAGAATTTTCATAGTCGTAAAGAAAGATTACTGGTAGGTGCTTGACTGCTTACCAAAAGGATAGAGGTTCAAGGCGACTCAGCAGTGCCTCAAAAGAAGAGTTTGGCAATCTACTTCCAAAAAACCTTTGAAAAACATATAGAATACAATTCTACTCTGACAGATGTGAGGTTAACTTGACAGCAATTTTGGAAAGACTAACATAAGTCAAAGTACATAGACTGGAATAGGCAGAGTATATTTACTGTACTGCAAATAATCTAACTGGTGTGTGTGCACTTGTGCTTCCATCATAGGATAGATAAATACTAGGCATTGAGACTGAAAGGATATGCTGGAACAATAGCCTAGGAGACTGAGTGCTAAATTGAAACATTTTTATTTAGTTATGAAGGTAGTCCCCTTATGATGGAGTTCTCTTTTGACTACTCCATTGTAAGTCTGATATAAGTTGAATACCTCTTTTTTTTTTTTTTTTTAATCTTATTGCTTTTATTGTCAATATCTTCATAAACCCAATATTTGAACATCTGTGAGTGGACACATGAGAATGATAGCATGAGCAAGTTAAATGCCTCAACATTGTATGTAGTACACATTAAGATCAGATGCATAAAGAAAAAAGATGGTATTGTGATTTGTTGTAACTGGAATACACTGTAAGTCGGCAACTGCTTGTATAAGGTTTAGGGAGCCATTGCTAGTATTTTAACTAGATATTGATGAAATCACACCTGTATTTTTTTGAAAATTAATATGATAGTGATGTAAAAGATTTAAAAGAGACAGGATGATACTTTTTTTTTTAATGATCTTTCCAACTATAGTTCTGATTTCATTAGTCTTTAAGAAAATTCTTTTCTCTCTTGACTTTGAAACTATTTAAAAAAGTCTCTTTTTCTCTCTGCATAAAAACCAGGCTGTTTTCTTAAATCTTCTCCTTCTAAATATTTGAAGAATCATGATAAGTTTAATTTATCATAAGAGAAATATTATGAGAATAGGCAACATTTATGTAGCATTTTCTATGTGTCAAAATGTTAAGCATGTTTTGTATGTTATATAAATGTATATATTGATGTAATTTAAGGCTATATTGTTAAGAGTCCAGTTTTCCAGATAAGTAGAGTGAGGCTTAATGAGGTTAAGTAATTTGCTTAAATTCTGTAAATGTTCCATAATGGAAGAGTCAAAATTGGCTCACAATAATTGCTCAACACATATTTTTTGAAGGGATAAGTGTTTAACCCCAGTTGTCTTGGAGTTCCTGGGACCGACTAATAAGGAGGCAATTAAAATATGTGTCTTAAAGTAAAGAAACATGTCTTGCTATTAAAGCATGGTGGATAGCTGTGTTAAGTCATCGTGGGAAGCAGAAGTTTTATGAAGATTTCTCGGTGGATACAGTAGACTACCTAAATCATGACATATATGTGAGAATGTGTTGGAATGATTAAATGCTAATGTGAACATTTATTGGGAGTCATCTTGGTCTCTTAAATAAAACTCCTAATGTCTTGGAATGTCATAGACATCTAGATATTTTGGGGTCTCAAAAGTGAGCAGTGCTTGAGATCAAAGATGAATTTAACAGATATGGAAAATGTTTGACTATTAAATATGATAAAACATCTGTTTTTAATGTTAGCATTTCACCAATTTTTTCTTTAGTGAAGCTGACTTTAAAAGTCTAATAAAAGCCTCTGAAGAAACTTGTTTTCAGCTAAAAGTTTGAAAAAGACCTCACTGGGGACTAAAATAAAAGATGACAATATTAAGAATTTATTTTCTTTCTTATATAGGGGAGAAAATTATTTCAGAGCTTGGATATTTCTGAAAGATTAAAATTTTTGCTTACTTTAGGTAAGTGTCATGAAATCTATGTATTATCATATCATCTTTCATTATAAATATAATTTTTAGCGTCTGTTAGTAATCAGCTCTGGTGGCATAGTGCCTAACTAAGGCATTTGAATGCTAACAGAAGGTTGGCAATTCAAACCCACCAATCACTCCATTTAGGGAGCTCTGGTAGCATAGTGGCTAAGACATTTTGCCTGCTAACCAGACGGCTGGCGGTTCAAACCCACCAGCCACTCCTCGGAAGGAAGGTTGGGCAATCCTACTTCCGTAGTGATACTGCCTCGGAAGCCCAAGGAGGGGTCGCTATGAGTCGGGTTTGACTCGACGGCACATAACAACAACAACAACAATCACTCCATGGAAGGAAGACAGGGCAATCTACTTCCATAAAGATTTACTGCCTCGGAAACCCAAAGGGGATCTCTATGAGTTGGGATCAACTTGATGGCAGTGAGGTTTTTTTTTTTTTAAATTAGTAATCATGCACATTGAAGAGATGTTCTGAAATAGTGAATACCCTGAAATATCTTTACTTTCTTCAAGTTCCTGGTAAGTAAGCATTAATAAGACAGCCTGCTGAAATATTATAGTAGACCTTTCTTTATTCTTTAAGGAATTTTAAACTAGATAGAAATTATCTTAACTTCATGATGCAGCCAAGTTAAAGAAATCAAATCATTTTACTGTGTAGTAGGTTACCCTCAGACTATGAATCATAACTTGTGAGCTGTCTTTCTGTTTGATGAATTACGTATGATTAAAGCCTCAGGAAGAATAATTATTTTGTTTGTAAGAAACTCATATCATTTTACATGTAAGTTAGATCTTATAAGCATTTATGATTAAGTACTTATCAGAGCACTTATTAAGCCCTTATAATTTGAGTAAAATTTGTATAATCACTTTAAATGAAATAAATTAAACATGTATGGTAATAAAAGGGTAAAAACACTAAAAGAGCATTTATATCAAAGAGTAGCATATTAGTATCAGGTGAAGAGAATAAGAATATAAATAAACAAAAAACTGACTGCCATCAAGTTGGATCCAACTCATGGTGACCCCTCATTGGGTTTCTGAGGCGTTATCTCTACGGAAGTAGATTGCCCAACCTTCCTTCTAAGGAGTAGCTAATGGGTTTGAACCACCAGCCTTCTGGTTAGCAGTCAAATGCCTTAGGCACTATACTACCAGAGCTCCTAAGAATATATGGAGAATATAATAATAAATATTAAATAATATTCAATTACAAATAAAATTGCATAAATATTTACCATTTTTAATTCTAAGGATTGATAATATAGCTATTGAGTCATGGAGATTAATATTGACTAATCTTATACTACAAGTCCTCAAGGAAATGTGTGCATTCTCCAAATTGTATAGAGCAAAAATAAGTTAGTCTTTTAATCATGGAAAAGACTTTCAGAATATAAACTACACGTAGAATAAGAGAAACTTTACTTTCCTTCACTGCTTTATCTCACTGTTTAAGCAACTGTCTTTCACAATGTCTGATTCAATTATTTTTTAGTGTTTGAGGTCTTTATTTTTATTAAAATACAATAGTGAAATGCTAAGGGAGTCTGAAGCTTTTTAATATTCCGAGTTCCAGTACTGCATTACACCATTTTTAAAAAAAGTTCAATCAGTGTTCAGTTCCATGCTAGTCCCATAGATTAGAAAAACAGTACTAATTTATATGTTGTTATTTTTCTTTTTTTAATAGACTGCGTAGATGATACTGTAATAGTTCTGGCAGAAGAGCATGGTTGTCTGGACATTATGAAGGTTTGTCATTAATTTCATAATTAAAATGAAAATTTTGTTTACTTGGGATCCAATAGCAAGCTGTTTTACAAGTATCTTATTTCTGCTTACATATTTGCTTTTTCATAGACAAACTAATATAATTATTTTTAAATCCAAAGAAGACTTTTTAAAAAATCAAAACTTCCTTAAGTAGCAGAGAATTGGGTAAAATATATTTTAAAAATGGATTATTTAAAAGAATTTCTTTCTCTTTTTACTTATCAGGAACTTCCTGAAAATGTGACCAATCTTTTGAAGAAGTGCCTCACCTTCCACCCTTCTAAGAGGTTGATAATATTAAGAGTTTGGGATTACGATGAGATCCTTATCATATAAATAGTACATTTTATTTATTGAAATATTTATGGATTAAATAAAATATTTACATATGTAGTAGCACATAATTGACATCAGTATCACAATAGTTAGTTGTGTTTTTGAAGTTTTAATTTTATGTTAATAACAAAAGAAAAGATCATTAAAGTTAAATCATGGTCAGAAAATTGGCACATATACCAAAAAGAAGTTGATTGTTTTTCCCTAGCCTCTAAATAGAAAATCAATTCAATTGTAGAATGTCGATATTTCTAACTACAAGTGATAATATAAGAGGAATGGGAACAGTGGTGAAATAAGCTAACAATTATTGATAATAAAAAAGATTTCTTAGAAGTCTTATTAATTTACTTTCATTTGATGTCACTTGATCATACCCTTGTCCCAAATCTCTTTGTTGTTGTTGTTATGTGCTATCAAGTTGTGCCCGACTCATAGTGACCCCTCTTTGGGTTTCCGAGGAGGTATCACTACAGAAGTAGATTGCCCAACCTTCCTTCCTAGGAGTGGCTGGTGGGTTTGAACCGCCAGCTTTCTGGTTTGCAGTCACATGCCTTAGGCACTATGCTACCAGGGCTCCTCAAAACTCTTTAGGGATATAATATTTGTAATTAGTGTGTTCAAGTGTACATGTATATTCCACTAAGGAGTTCTTTATTATTTTCTGTGCTAATGAAATATTTAATACATTTAACTCTTCCCTTGCATGTATACCATTATTCTAGGAGATTTTTTAATGACTTTCATTTATACTCTGTATTTTAAATGTGCTTTTCAAGGCCAACCCCAGATGAATTAATGCAAGACAAAGTGTTTAGTGAAGTATCACCATTATATACTCCCTTTACCAAACCTACTAGTCTGTTTTCATCTTCTCTGAGATGTGCTGATTTAACTCTACCTGAGGATATCAGTCAGCTCTGTAAAGGTAATGATAAATAAGAAATAAGCAATAATATGAGCATTGTTTTTTAAAAGAAATACCCTCATTCTATTTAAGTTTTGAATTTATCAAGAGATAATTCTGGAAGTACTTAAAATATAACTGAGCTAACAAATTAATCCTTTAGAATTAAATTGCTTTGAAAGAACTTTAAGAATAAATGTGAGAAGGTGCCCCAAAAAGAAAATAAGTTTATTTATAAAGACCAGAGTCCTGTTTTCATGTTAAATCATAGTAATAAAATCAGGAATTCCACTTTATTTCTTTGTCAACACTTATATATGATATTCCAGAAATGAAGTCTGAAAATCATATTAGTCATATTAGGAAATCCTATCCATTAAATTCTGCATGTTTAAAAGAATATCAGCTTTTTGGTGTGTGATACAACTCTCAGAATGTATGTCTATATTAGTGACACCAGTGAATTACTTATACTATACTGAAAATGTTCATGACAGCAGTCATGATAGAAAATGTTTACTAAACATTCTTTCAATGAAGTATTTATTGAGCTAGTACTCTGAGCCACATACTATATCTTCAAGTAGAAATTATGCCAAATGTGTAGGCAGGCAGGCAGTCACTCAATGACTATTGTAAATGCGAATTAATACTTGTAGTAGGATATTATTTGCAACTAGAAGCATTCAGATCTTTATACCAGAGGAATCAGAATCTGCTAGTCATAACTTTTCTTTAACTTCTGTAAGCACTTATGCATGTAGGCAGTGGCAAGTTGGTAAAAGTCAGTAACTGGCTTTCTGGGAAAAAGGAGCTCTTATTTCAGGAATTTGGTAGTATCTATGTTGTAATAGTCTCGCCATAGTTAACCTAAAGCTACCAGCATGAACTCATTAACTCATTGAATGCAGAATTGAGAAGAGATGTATGCATACCACTATATAGACTTCCAACATACAGAAAAAATGGACATAATCTCAAGAGCACAGATAATAGTGAAATAATTATTAATTGTTAAGTTTTTAATATTTATTACCTTTATTTTAAAATATAATTTATGTAAGTTTATATAATTTAATTTTCAGTAATTTCTGCTTATAACAGCTGGCTTGAAAAATTCCTTAAATTTTAATAGTGGCCCTTATGGTCAGAGTCACCTCAAGCACACCACTGCATGTGGGTCACCGTTCACTTCAACCACGTTGCAAGATCAGTTGTAGAGAATACATTTATTTAGGTTTGTTTACTAAGCCTTCTCTTATTTAAATATTGGAAGTAATCTCTGCATATAGCCATTATAGCGTATTAATAAGAGATAAGATGTTTGAATTTTGAAACTCTGTCTTAGTCAAAATTCTGAGTCTAGAATCAGTTTATTCAGAATGGCTTCAGATAAAAGTGTGTTTTAAAAAATGCTTAATGAAACCACCAAGTATTTACTGAATTTCTGTTTTATTTATTTGGGGAATACCAAAGAAACTACATTTGTTCTGAAGACATTTAGGAAAAATATTAAATAGTTAGTGAACACGTTATAAGTGTATGAGTAGTTTGTGTTATGTTGCATGTCCTGAGCCAGTCATTTAATGCTGCCTAATTAATACTTTGATTTATGCAAGGAGAGTATCTAAACTTAATGCATGAAATTGCTTGGAAACTCATGATACTGCTTTGTGTCAATCTATATAACTCTGAAATATTTTGAAAATTATGCTTAAAGAAGCTACTTACACTCTTTTCAATAAAACATTAATTGCTTTAAACCAAAAAATAAAAAACAAACCCCTTACCATCAAGTCGATTCTGACTCATAGCAACTCTACAGGACAGAGTGGACCTACCTTATAGGGTATCCAAGGCTGTAAATCTTTATGGATTCAGACTGCTTCATCTTTCTCCCACAGAGCAGATGGTGGGTTCAGATCACCAGTCTTTTGGTTAGCAGCTGAATGCTTGAGCCATGAGATCACCTATTACTTGCTTTAACAATACATTAATTGCAATGTGTTGTTACTAGAACCGTTAAGATTTTTGAGTCAGCTTTAAAGTTGAAAGAAAACATCCTATGTACCTCCTTGTCTACAAATATAACCAACTATATCTCAAAAATAGAAATAAAGACTGAGAGTAAAGAAAAATTAATTTAAATGTAAATATGTGTTTGTATCACTAGATTATTATATGTTGTTATTGTTAGCTGGTTGAAGTTGGCCACCAATTCATGGTGACCCCATGCACAGGACAATCAAATGCTGACCCATCCTCCACCAGACTGTGATTGGTTGTGGATCAGACCATTCTGATCTATGGGGTTTTTTCAATGGCTGATTTTTGGAAGTAGATTGCTAGGCCACTTATTGTAGTGTATCTTAGTCTGGAAGCTCTACTTAAACCTGTTCAGCATCATAGCAACACACAAGGCTCCACTGACAGTGGGTGGTGGCTGTGCATGAGGTGTAATGGCTGGGAATCAAATCTGAGTCTCTCACATGGAAGGAGAGAATCTTATCTTGCACCTAGAATATTATATAAATAATTTTAAGTAGGGGTTGTTTTTATGTGTAGTACACTTTAAATACAGCCAGAATGCTCCTTAGCAGCAAGGATGGCAAGAGTTGGTCTCACGTACTTTGACCATGTTATCAGAGGGACCAGTCCCTGGAGAAGGACATGGCGGTTGAGAAAGTAGAGGGTCAGTGACAAAGAGGGAGACACTCAATGAGATGGATTGCCATAGTAGCTGCAACAGTGAAACAACCATAGCAACAACTGTGCAGATGGCACAGGACTAGGCAGTCTTTCATTCAGTTGTACGTAGGGTCACTGTGAGTCATGACTGCCTTGATGGCACCTAACAACAACAGCTACTACTTTAAATATTTCCCTCATTATACAAAAGACCTTGGATCATGATGTATATAACATTTTTATTCATTTTGTTTTTTTAAGGAACACATAATTTTATTATTTTCCAGGTTCTTAGACTTAACAAATATTAACTCATTTTCATCCCTGATTAATGAAAATTAAAACTGTGAAAATTTAGAAAGGAATCATGACAAGTCCAGAGTCACTTACCAGCGATTCAAAAGAGCAAAAACTTTAAAACATGTGGTTCCTATATTTGTATTAGGAGTTTTGTGTTTTTATATAAAGAAAAATCTTATTCTTCTCTTTCTCAGAGAAACTATATACAATCAATATACATCTCACTTTCTGTGCCACTTTTAGTATGAATGTTCTAAATAGAACTTTGCTTGTTCTTCAATTTTTCTTTTTTGTCTTATACCTGTTGATTTTTAATTAAAAACAGAAAGGGTGATAACTATTCTTTTTAATTTGCTATTAATAGACATCAACAGTGATTATCTGGCAGAAAGATCTATTGAAGAAGTATATTACCTATGGTGTTTGGCTGGAGGTGACTTGGAGAAAGAGCTTGTCAACAAAGAAATCATTCGATCCAAACCACCTATCTGTACACTGCCTAAGTAAGGAAAGATAAATTATCTTGGAAATGAAAAAAGAATGTGATAAAAGCAGTTTAGACATTCTAAGTGATTATTATAGAAGCAAGTGGAAGGTAGCAGTATGTGTACTTGGTCAGAATTTCTAATTGCAGAAATCCTTTATAATTTATTATTTTAAAATAAATGTTTTAATAAATATTTTGCTTAATGTTCTAAATAAAATTACTAGTATGGAACATCTTGTAATAATTTTTTAACAGATGATATGTGTAAGTTATGTATTCAAACTCACTGCCATCAAGTCAATTCCAACCCTATAGGACAGAGTAGAACTGTCCCATAAGATTTCCAGAGCTGCTGATCTTTATGGAAGCAGACTGTCTCATCTTTCACCTACAGAACAACTGCTGGATTCAAGCTGCCAATCTTTTGGTTAGCAGCCAAATGTGTTAACCACTGCTCCACCAAAGTTCCTTATAAGTCAAATAGAACAAAATACTTGAGAGACTTAATAAACTGAAGTGATATTCCTAATATAAAGAACTATTTCCTATTTTTAAATATATCTGTAAAGGAAAATGGACTCTGTGGCCTCATTGTGTGTGTAGAGATCACTACTTTGCTAAGTCACTTTGCGAAGAAATCTGCAGAACTATAGAAGAGGATATCATAGTATAAAGTAAACTGGAAGTTGAAAGGCTGTACAGGCCCAGTGGTCAGAGTTAATACTATTCCATTGCTATTTATGTTTATTCTAAAGATATTAACCTGTACTTCTTGAGTTTTCACCAATGCTTTAAAATTTAAATTTTTTTTATTTTAGGACTTAGATTTGATCATTGTATATAGTTATAGAATCATCTACTCTTTATTTTTTTTATAAAATATTTAGATTAAATACTCAGATATGCTACCTCTTTTTTTTTCTCTTCAACTGCTTTTTAATTATTAATTTCAATTATACTGCTTATATATTGAACTAAATAGAAAATCAGGGAATAAGATGATGAAAATTCTAAGAGGAAATTGTTAGAAAAATATATAGATTCTCAAAAGTAATTCTCCAGAATTTTAAATAAATTTCATGTGTTTTGTTATTCAATATTCTGTTTCCTTAGAAGTTACTATCAATTATGTTTCTTCTCTCTACTTCCGTTTTATCATTTTTTACCCATGTAAACTTTCTCAGCAGCAAATTTCAACAGAGTCAGGAGAGTGATTTTAACATTGAGCCTCCATGAGCAAACAGTAGCAAATTACACTTTTCTATCCATAAAATGCTTATAGATGTTACTGTATCCATACCAAGTCAAGAAATATCTAGAAATGAGACCTGTTTAGAGAAATCTTAAGCAGCAGTTACATTTCTCTTTACCATTCAGTCTGAAAATTATTTTTTTGTTTGATTAAAGGATTGATGACAGAATGTATTTATTTTCATGAAGAAACAATAAAATAGATTTTGTGTGGTCATTAAAATAATTATTTTTTAAATCTCTTTTTAGTTTGCTCTTTGAAGATGGTGAGAGCTTTGGGCAGAGTCGAGATAGAAGCTCACTTTTAGATGATACTACTGTGACATTGTCATTATGCCAGCTAAGAAATGTAAGAATGGTATTTTAACAAATTGCTTCAAATCTTTTTAATTTTTTTAATTAAAACATTACAAACATATATGAAGCTTTTTATTCCTATCTATCATGTAACATGTGAGAATTTCTTCAATATATACAACCCAGCAGTGGAATTAACTGGAGTGTAGCGTCTGTACATCTTCAGCTTTAGTTGCTATTGTCTGATTGTTCACCAAAATGGTTTTTATCACTTTATCTTCTCACCATCATTGTATAAATGTTCTTATTTCTCCACACACTTGGTAACACTTGGCATTATCAACTTGGGAAAAAAGAAAAAGAAATGGATATGGAATGGTATTGCACTACGATGGTAGTTTTTAATTCCCTCTTTGTAGTGCAGTTGTGAGCCTTTTCACATTTTTGTCCATTTGCTTACCTCTTCTATAAATTGCGAGTTTATGTCTTTTGCCAACTTTTCTTTGAATTATTTCTTACTACATTTCAATAGTATGTTTTATTTTTTAAAATATGTTTCAGATATTGAGCCTGCCTTGGCTTTATCTGATGTAAATATCTTGTAATCTATACTTTAACTTTTTAATGATATCTTTTAATAAACTTAGTTTTCTCAGTATTTTCCTTTTTAGTCACACATACTCATGTTTTCTTATATATTTTGCTCATTGTAAATTCATGAACATTATTCCATTGTTATAAATATATATTTTCTATGGTTTCTTAAATTATTTTCTTCTAAAAGATTTAAAATGTGAGTTAGATATCTGATATCATATTTCATTCATAAGAAATATCAACTTGTCTTAGCATCATTTATTTACTCTTTGCTTTTTCGATATGTAATGCAAACTCATTCATATAGGAATTAATATGTTCTAGGCATTCTCTTCTTATCTGTTACTCTGTTTGTTAACCTTAACCCAATACCACACTGCCTTAATCCATAGTTTTATATGAGATCTTGACCATCCTATATAAAATAGCAACCTTCTTTAACTTTTTTTCCCTCTGTTTTGTACTTTTTTCATCTGATACACTGTATATTTTCTTGTTTGTTCATATTACCTGTCTTCTTCCCACTACACTGCAAGTTACATGAGAGTTAGAATTATGTCTGTTTATTCAGTGATGCATCTCAGAATGTTTAGTACAGTATCTGATATGTAGTAACCCATACCCGTGGCCATCAAGTCGATTCCGACTCATAGCGACCCTTTAGCGGTCCATAGAACTTTTCCATAGTATTTCTAAAGCTGTAATCTTTACAAAAGTAGACATCTATCTCTCCTATCTTTCTCTCACAGAGTTCCTGGTGGGTTAGAACTGCTAAACTTTCAGTTAACAGCCCACTGCTTTAATCACTGCGTCACCAGAGCTCCTTGATGCATAGTGAAGGACTCCATAAATAATATCTAAATCAATGAATTAATTTCTCTTTAATATGCCTTCTTTTATCTTGTGCTGTTAGAGCTCCCCAGATCTTATTAGTTTCTGTATTTTCCTTCTTGATGAAGTATATATTAGAGACTTTATTATGCAAACAAATGCACTACTAGACTAGATAAGCTGTTTATTTGGAAAGACATATTTTTTACTTAATGCTAAGAGAAATTCATTAGTTTAACATTTAGCCATTTGGTGGTGTAGTACATAAGGCACTTGACTGCTAACCAGAAGGCTGGCTGTTCAAACCCACCAGCCACTCCTTGGAAGGAAGATTGGGCAATCTTCTTCGATAGTGATACTGCCTTGGAAACCCAAGGAGGGGTCTCTATGAGTCGGAGATGACTCAATGGCACATAACAACAACAACAACAACAGGTTGATAATTATTTTTCTCTCAGCTGTTTAGTGATATTATTTCATTGTTGTATGGTTTCTGTTGTTGCTTTAGACAAACCAATTTTAATTCTGTTGTTTATTTTTTGGTATCCTTTTATTGTGAATTTTTTGAGTTTGTCTTTGATGTTCTGTATTTTGACTACAATAAATCATAGTGTGCTTTTTTTTTTTTTTTTATGCTTCTAGAGATTTGTCATCCTTCATATGATTATTTATGTTTGTCACAAATTCCAGGAAATTTTTGTTCAGGAATTCTAGTTAGGTGTTTGTTGGAAATCCTATCTCCTCTATGTCATTTAACCACTGTTTTGTACTTTTCATTTTTTATTTCTCTGTGCTACATTCTGTGTAATTCCATTATATCTGTCTCCTAGTTGACTAAACTGTCCTGAGCTATGTCCCTCAGCTCTTTAACCCTTTCATTGAGTGTTTAGTTTTAAACAACATCCATTTCATGTCTAGAAGTTCTTTATGATTCTTTTAAAAATCTTATCATTTTTTAAAGAGTTTCTTATTACTAACAATTTTTCTTAAATGCATTAAGCATGCTTATTTTGATTATACATCCAGAAGTTATACTATCTAAAGGTTTTAAAAATCTTATCTATTGTTCTTTCATTTCTATTTTGGTGAAAATATGCACAACAAATACTCGCCGGTTCAACAGTTTCTACATGTATAATTCAGTGACACTGATTACATTCTTCATGATGTGCAACCATTGTCATTGTCCTTTTCCAAATTGTTCCACCACCATTAACATACACTTAATACCCCCTAAGCAAAACCTCCCACTTTCCCCTTCTCTTCCATCCTTAGTAGCCATGAATAATCTTTGGTTTCTGTATCTTTGCTTAGTTCATGTAAATGAGATCATGTGGTATTTGTCACTTTACAACTGACTTATTTGGCTTGACAAATTTTCCAAGGTTCATCTATGTGTGACATGCATTGGGACTTCATTTCTCATTATGGCTAAGTAATACTCCATTGTATGTATATACCACATTTTGAATATTAATTGATCTGATCTTTTGATGGACATTTTGGTTGATTCCACATTTTGAGTATTGTGAAATTGCTACAGTGAATATGGTTTTTGTGTACTTTCCTGCTTTCATTTCTTGTGGGTATTTACATAGGATTGGGATTGTTGAGTCATATGATAGTTTTATGTTTAACTTTTTAAGGAATCACAAAATTGTTTTCCACAGCAACTGTACCATTTTATAGACCCAACAGCAATGCGTGAGGGTTCCAGTTTGTCCACAATCCCTTGACACCTGCTGTTTTCTTTTTGTTTTGTTTTTTAACCATTGCCATTCTAATAGAAGTGAGGTGATAGCTCATTATAGTTTTGATTTGCATCTTCCTAATGCCTGATGACATTGAACATCTTCTCATGTGCTTCTTGGTCATTTGAATATCCTTTATGGGAAAGGTCTGATCCTTTGCCTATTTTATGATTACGTTGATTGTCTTTTTGTTGTAGAAGTTTTTTTTTTTTTTTTTTTTGAGTTGTTTTTGTTTTTTATGTATTTTGGATATTATACCCTTATCAGATATATGGCTCCTGAACATTTTCTCCCAATCTGTAGGTTCTCTTTTGATAACCAGACTTATTTTACTATTTCTGTTTCTTCTTTGTGATGACTTGTTTCCTTGTGTATTTTGTTTGTTCCTCTTAATTTCCTATTTTTATAACTGGAAATTCTTTCAGGCCTGAATGTAATGTATATTCTGTCAAATGCCTGGTTTTATTAACTATGGAGACAATGCCAATAGTATAAACTCAGTCTCCAAACACATGTTACGGCTAGGCAATGACCACAAGTTTCTCAGACGGCCTTTTTATTTTAACCATCCATATCTAAATAGTTAATCTCCTTTTCCTTGTTATCAGCCTCTGGGCTAGGGCATCCCCTTGCTCTGCCCTAGTTCTTTCTTTACTTGGCTTTAGCAGTGTTTTCTCCTCCAGTTGCCTATTATATACAGGCTCAAGGCTTTGTCTCACTGTGATGTAAAACTGCAGGGCACAGTTATTAGTATATTTTAGTTCTAGCTCATCTCCTTTCTCTCTAGGCCTACTTTGTTTCTGGTATCACTTATTTTACCATATTTTTTTTCTTTTGTCTTAACCAATCATTCAATATTTCATATATAATAGGATGTCATTAGCATATCTTTCTATTCAGTAATGCCTGGAACAGAAAATTAAAGTACATAATTATTACTACTTAATACAGTGAATATATGTTCTCTTTAAAAAGAGCTTCTAGGCCGAAAACAATAAATTGCAATCTAAAATAGGTGGCTTCAACTGATCTAGTTTTACTCTTCATTTGTTTCTTTTAATTTAAATGAAATCCATGTTCCTAAGCTAAGGTTCAATTCTACTACTTTAATTTCCTCACATTAAATTTTGAAATGTAAATACTTTTTTCCTGTAATTATTTAGAAAAAAAATAGTATTTTCATTTTTTAAAGAATATGTTCTTGTGTGCTGTTGATTCTGACTCAAAGAAAGCTGTAGGACAGAGTAGAACTGCCTCTTAGGATTCCTAGTCAGATCACCAGGACTTTTCTCCCACAGTGCAGCTGGTGAGTTTGAATTGCTGACCTTTCTGTTAGCAGCCAAGCACTTAACCATAATGCCACATGGCTCCTTTAAGGAATATAGGAGTCAAATTATATTTTTACATTATAATTTTCTGTGTATTTTTACCCTATATTTAACCTTACTATTCTAAATTTTTAATAAAAAAAAAGAACATAAAAATACTTATAATAGTTATGACATCTAGGACAGTGAAACCTAAACTCTAAAAAATGGTATATATTAATTTTTCAGTAAAACTTGAGAAGATCTTACTTTTCTATTTAAAATTTTAGTCTATGAAATAAATACATAAAGATTGAAAGACAAAGTAGAATAAATGCATAGCACTTTAATTTTTAGAGAAAATTCAGACAAAAATCCACTGTTTACCAAATTCTTCATGTTGGGTAAAAGATTCTTCTTTGACTTTTAAAATTCTGGGAACAATTCACATTGATGAGTAGACAATGCTTCTAATCAAGAGAGAATCAGTGTAGGCTACACAGAGAGCTTGAACGTCAGTCAGTCCCCACAGGAACAGATATTCTGCCTTCAAGTTGGAAGTTGAACTGAAGAGCAGAGCTCTGCAGGCAAGATGACATTAATTTTAATCGTCCTGCTTAGGATGTGTCTAAAATTTTACTTTACTACTTTACTTTAATACAGCCTGCCCTCTTAAGAATACCCATAAATCTGGCTGTATTCAATGTTATTATTTGGATAAACGTTAACTATGAGTTTGTGCAGAAATAACTAAAGAGCTGAATTTTGGTAGTGGACTTGTCAGCTATTTGAACATACATATTCAAAGGAAGCATATGAGAAATTCTTTTGAATTCTCTTTACTATCACCTTATTTTTGCTTTGTTTGTATTACTGTTCAAGCAAATATAAAGCTGATTTGGATTTTCAGTTAAGGCATATGTATAAAAAGAGTACTATTTTATTTATAGCTCTAGTGATGTAGTAGCCTAAGGCATTTGACTGCTAACCAGAGGCTGGAGGTTCCAATCCACCAACCACTCCTTGGAAGGAAGATTGGGCGATCTACTTCTGTAGAGATACCGCCTCAGAAATCCAAGGAGGGGTAGCTGTGAGTCAGAAATGACTCAATGGCAATGAGTTTGGATTTAGTTTGGCGTTTTGTACAACTTAAATAGACTTTATTCACTTATTTAATTTTTTTTTATTGTGATTTGGGTGAAGATTTCACTTATTTAATTTTATAATAGTGTTTGTAATTCTGAATTATGTTTGGAAAAATATCTTAATGGGTATTTAACATTTATAAGATATCTGGAAGGAGAAAAACAGAAGCAAAGCTATTCTTTATAGCTGAACTGTATTCAGTAAAACTTGAGAAGATTTTACTTTTCTATTTAAAATTTTAGTCTATGAAATAAATACATAAAGATTCAAAGACAAAGTAGAATAAATGCATAGCACTTCAATTATTAGAGAAAATTCAGACATGAATTAGAGGCATGGTATACTTGACTACTTAAGAAGGAAATTTAGAGTCTATTTTACACAGTTCTCAGTACCGCTATACATTCATAATTTTTACCTTATTTTGCCTTTTAAATACAGATTAGTGTTGCTGCCTCAGATACTTAGACATGAATATTTTCTCTTTAAATTCACAGAGATTAAAAGATGTTGGTGGAGAAGCATTTTACCCATTACTTGAAGATGAGTGAGTATACGTAGTTTCATTTTACATTTATATTTTTTTTCAGTTTAGATTAGACTGATAAGAAATCTATACATATTCTTTGAAGAGTGCTTCCTAAGTAGAACACAAACACTTAGTTTTAGATAGTGTTTTGGTTTTGTTAAAATGTTATGCTTTGTATCAATTCTTCTGCTTGTGTTTGTCTTTTACAGCCAGTCTAATTTACCTCATTCAAACAGCAATAATGAATTATCTGCCGCTGCTACTCTCCCTTTAATCATTCGAGAGAGGGATACAGAGTACCAACTAAACAGAATTATTCTCTTTGACAGGCTGCTAAAGGTAGAGATCCTCCAAAAGTGTTACAATAGCACATGTAAAATCCTTTTTTCTTTTTTTAAATTCATGTCATGACCTATTTTTATTGATTAAATTTAATTATACAAATGATACATGTAAATATAAAAATTATAAAATAATAAGAGTGTGGGAATATATTTACAAAATCATGCAGACAGAGAACTTTTAAAAATCAGTAGGAAAAGCACCAATACTGAAACAGAGAAATAGGTAAAGGACATAATAGAAATATAATTAGTTAGAAATGTTTATCCTGACTAGGAATGGGGGGAAAAAAAAGGATTTTGGGGTATACCAATAAGCTAAGTATAGAAATATCCAGTGACCTTGGAATTCTCATTCTACTGGAGTTTAAGTATAAATTGATTGAAACATTCTGTGTAGCAGTTTAAAAGTATATATTAATAACACCCATACCCTTTGTTGTAATAATGATCTTCTAGAAGTTTCTCCTAAGGGAGTTAATCAAAGGGTGGGCAAATTTATATACAAAGATTTATTGTTGTTAAGTGCTGTCGAGCTGACTGCTCCTCAGCAACCCCATGTGACAGAGTAGAACTGCTCTGTAGGGTTTCCTAGGCTATAATCTCCATGTCAGCAGCCAAGTGCCTCACCATTATCCTCCCTAACCCCCGTGTGACTCATTCATAATTCTCCCAGAGACAAATAGAGGAGAGTGATGAAAAACAAGTAGAATCAACTCCTGTCTTTGATTGCATTCTACACAATTTTCAGAAGGATATACTACTACTTATCTGTATTAATAACACCAGACACAGTAATTTCAGATACTTAGAAATTTATTACAGGTAACTTTAAGCTTTATCACTAGCTTGTTCAGAAATGTGTAAATTAAAGATGACTCTTAGTAATTTGAGATATTTTTTCATTTCTTTTCTCATACTATAGGCTTATCCATATAAAAAAAATCAAATCTGGAAAGAAGCAAGAGTTGACATTCCTCCTCTTATGAGAGGTTTGACTTGGGCCGCTCTTCTAGGAGTTGAGGTAAGAAAGAAAAGAAAAGGTGAGATACCTGATTGGAGGTGATCATTAATGTAAAGAAAGTATGAATATAGTGTTTTCCTAATGCATATATTTCAAGTAGTTTGAAAATTGCATACTAAAATACTAATTTTAAGAATATTTACATTTTAAGTAAAAGGAATAGAATAGGGTGGAATGAAATAGAATAAAATAGAATATAAAAATATAATTGAAGATTTGTTAGATTCATGCTATTTAATATCTCATTAATGGGATTCACAAAAATATCTTTATTACTAATTTTAACATCAGAAAATATTTTATGAATATATATAAGTTATAATTGTATAGGCCTGCTTTTGAAGTATGCTTATTTAGGAATTTAAAAAAATAGAAGCAAACAAACTCATTGCCATCAAGTTCATTCCGACACACAGCAACCCTCACTGGGTTTCTGAGGCTGTAAATCTTTACAGAAGCAGAACACTCCATCTTCCTTCTGTGGAGTAGCTAGTTGGTTTGAACCACTGACCTGGTTAGCAGCCAAATGCCTTATCCACTACGCCACCAGGAGCGCCTATTTATAAGTGGTTCTCTCTAAGTTTGGAGGAAGCTTCCACTACAGTTTCTGCCTTGTCAAAACCACTAACATCATTTAGTTTGCCTGTCTGCTATTGGCACACTTGTATCACCTGGATTGTGCTGCCAACAGAAATAGTCCCATTGTCTTCTACAACACTGTATCTGTAGCAGTAGGGAAAAAAGAGGTGTAACAGAATTGTTAAGGGTGGCTTGCAATATGAACAAAGAATCCTGGTGACAATAGTCAGAATAGCTGGTCAGTTTCATGCCAGACTGCACTAAGCGTATGGCAGCAGCATCTTCCTCTGACCTCCTCTAACTTCACCGAGGGGAGCATCTCTCTATCATCTCTCTGCCAGCCATCTCTAACGCCATCGTATCAACTGAGGGATCTCGGGCCCAAAGACATGCTCTACTCATGGCTCTTCTCTAATTTGATGGCAGTGACATACCCCTTTTGCCTCTGGGAGGACTCACTTTAAACCTAGCAAGATGGCAAAACAGACCAGTCCTTACATTAGGTTTCTTTTCTTTTTTTTTTGAGTGTTCCCTCCCCACCTCTCCCACCCCTGGCAACCAATAAAGAAAGTTTCCCTCCATATATAAACCTTTCCTTGACCCTCC